TTCCATTTCCTTCCAGGGAAGCTCCAATTTATTTTTAGGAAGCTCCAATTTTGTTGGTGCAATCTTGTTCGTTCCCCTTTCCCAGTAATTTACTTTATTACAGAAAAAGGTATTTTCATTAATTTTTTTTTCGGTAAAATAATTTTCGCGGTGTCATAAAATAAAGCAATATCATATAACTGAAAGTGTAGTTATTTCATTCATTTTATAAAGGAGAGCGATGGATCTGTGACCATTGCTTAAGCGATACTATGTTGTGCAATATATTTTAAATGTTCTTATTTTCTGTTTTCAAACTAGCGCTCGTAAATTTCCATATTATGCTCTCATTTTAATCCTCTTGTACTAGCACATGCTCCGATTTCGGAGTTTTTTCTTTGGATTGAATCGCTTTCCTGAAAAACATTTTACGTGTTATTGGTGTTACTCAACTAGTGTTTTGCGTAGGATGTGATATCTGGAAGGAGCATGATAATGAAAATAATTTCTTTTTTCAGTAAAACTTTAAAGTTTATTGCAGATTATCTGAATACGGAGAAAATAGGAGGTTTACTGAAATATTTTTGCAGCTTTTGACGTTAATGGAACTCTGAATATTTCCTAATATTACTCACTGATTAGTACCGAGCTTATCTAGATGATCAAAAAGTTCAGATGGTTATATTATCTTTTCGTTATGTTCCAAATATATATTTATATTATAAAAATGCTATATATTTATTATTTTTGTATAACTAACTGCATAATTCTTTATTTTTTCATCAAAATTAAATAATGAAATTATTATTTAGTTGCCTTACCATATAAACTACTTACATTTGATTAAAATAAAGCAATTAAATTAATTTTTAGCTACAAAGACCATAAAACTGAAGGCATAATCTTGCTTTTACTTTTATTGTACACAAGCTGTGCAACTATTATCAGTTTTAAAACAATTACATAAATAAATTAGACTTACTTCCCATTAATGTATCTAGATTATGTATTTGTCCAGCATTGTTGTACATATTCATTTAAATTAATTTCCTGAATAATATGTTGTGTACTATATTATCTTTTCCCTTTTATTTTAACCTGGAAACATTCAAATATATGCCAAATAATTAATAAACACATTTTTATTTGGCTTAGAGAGAACCGATTCTGACAACTGAATTCTTGAAATCTGAAGCCGAAATAATTGGATTTCTTCTGTAACCCAAATAATTTCTACATAATTATGCATTGCCGATTCGTAAGCACAGAATTATTCAAACCAGTTCAGTATAATAGAATTAAGAGTTCATGGTATGCGAATACCGTTTAAGAAAAGCGCGACTGGTAGTGATTTTTGAAACCATCATTGAAAATTTCTCAAGAATTCTTTGTATTACAAGGTTAGAATTTCTCACTCTTTCTGCCAGATTTTTCCCTATTTTGTAAGATTCTTAGTTTGTTAACGTTTTCAAATATCGTTTATCATTATCATATTCTTTTCATCGTATTCCAGAAGTTAGTCTTTATGTAGTCTAGTTGAAATGATCATTTCTTTCCTGGAAATTTGTAAAGATATTATACTAATGAGGCAGACGATGATGAATTTCCTTCCATAGCTATTAAATTACATACTTAATTTACTTATTTTTAAGGAATCTAGAAAGAAAATCTGAAGTGGCAATTCAGAAAACAGTGAAATTAAAATATTTTCTGAATAATGTTGCATTTGCTGGAATTATATATTTATTATATGACACTGCAAGAAAACACAACGAAATAACTTATTAAAAGGTTCAGCGTTTTATATTCACAAAGAATAATACAGCCAAAAGTCGTTAATCCGGACTCGTCGGGACTTCGGCAATTCCGGATTATCGATTTTTTCGGATTATAGATCATCAGTTTAAATCTGGTAAGATGGCATGCAGAAATTACAAAATTAAAAATATGAAACCGTAATTTATGAAACAAAGAACAATTATGATCTAAAGGGTATCAAAATTTACAAAAAGAAAACGCTTAATATTTATTTCTTTACTTTATTAAACATTTCTTTCAATGTAAGTTGCTTCCTTTCATATGATAATACTTTCTCTTTAATTCTATTAAACAGACATAATTTCTTGTTTAATTACAAAGTTCCGCTGTTCAAGTCCTATAATTGCTGTGTCGAGAATACCGACTAATTTGTCAATCGAAATTTTTTCGTTTTCAATAACCTCTGAGTCACTTTCTTCACTATCGGAAGCGAATTATAATGACGAGGAATTTGATTTAAATCATATCAAAGACGGAGTACATCGAGATGAAATACTACACTTAGTAAGGAATTCTAAGCCAAATAAAATAAAAACATCTGCCCTGAAGATAAGGACGGATCAACTTCTAATTCATTCGCAACGTGAAATTGATAAACAGATTTCGGATTTCGAAACATACTTTCGCTTTGCAGATCCTTTACATATTAGGAAATATATATCTGATATTCTATTTGACATAATCAAAAGCTTACTTTTATAAAATTGCTCTAACAGTCTGAAAAAAAAAAAAAAAAAAAAAAAAAAAAAAAAAAAATAAGCCGGATTCAATTCGAAGATTAAGGAACAACGCAATCTGCAACATTAACTGAATTAGATAATTTTAGCTTAGCTTATACCGTCCGTTACACATTAAACGCGCATGCGCACACACATATTCGCAGCCGTAAAGGTCTTACGCGCACTCGTAAACGCCTGTGCGCATGCGTAAACGCAACGCATGCGCAGAAAGTTTGTAGCTTTGAGGTCCGGATTATGGGTGTCCGAATTAACGACTTTTGACTGTATTAAATATTGCACACTTTATTTTAGGGCATCAAAACCACTGCTGAAAGGTCTTTTGAGAGTTTCAAAACTTAAGTTCTTATCATTAAAAGTAAAAAGTTCTTATCGCTATCGATTAGTGAGTTTTTTTCCTGTTAAAATTTTCTGTCTTGTAATTTGATGTTTAATCATTGTTTCGTATTCTTATTTGCTGAAGACTGCGATCATGGAGCTTTCGTATTTTTAACAGTTGTCGTGAATTCACCATTGCTGCAGAAAAAGCAAATAATATGAAAAAATTCTGTTAAATTTGATCCTAATTTGCGGATATCGTTTTTTATCCAACATATAGTCAGTTCACTTTGTTGAATTAAAGAAAATTATATTCTATCATTACCAATAGCTAATAATTTGAGAAAATAGCTCAGTTTTCTTCTGTTTAATTTAGAATTCTATCAAACAGTTTCTGACTCTGATGTTTGTCGATTTATGAAAAATACAGCAAGGCTAAAATACCTAAGGCAGTGGTTTTCAAACAAAGCATTGCCCCTTCTGGTTTGTTGTTCTCTCGGCATGGAAGAGCAGTATATTTGTTTTGAAAGTGTGATGACGGATTGAACGTTGAGACGTAGCTTTGCAAGGTTAAGGAAACCTTTGCAAGGTTTTTGAGCCACATTTTACTGTTGTTGGATGAAATTTCGATTTCTTGAATTAAACGGAAAATGTGCGAGGATTTCATCGTTAGCTGTATGCATTTTTGAAAGAAAATAACTTCAGGTTGACTGAAGCCAAGGAATTTATAGTGAATTCTTCGGAAATACCTTTCGATCAAAAGATTCGTTGGAATAAATTACTTAATTTCCATTCTCATTTAAATTCAGTCCTAATTCAGTCTTATAGGGGTTGCAGCCGAAAAAGGAATATTTTTATTTTTATATTTCATAATTTTGAATTAAACTAAAAAATTTTTTTTGCTGAAAAAGAACTTTAAAAACTGAAAATGAATAGAAAATTAATGCAACTTCTAGCCCTTAATGGAATTTTAAACATACATAGTTAAGTAATAAAGGCTATAAATAAGTTCATCTTTTTTATAAAGTTTTACTAATAATTTTTCATGAAAAAATATATTCTGAAAAAGTTTACAAAAAGGAGGATAAGTAACTGCCTGAGGTTACATCCATAGGAATACTTTAATTAATTATCAATTTTTTTTTCATTCACGTTTTTTAATTTATCGGTAAAATTTTATAAAAAAAAAGATTAATTTATTTTGCTTTTGACACCTTTATTAGTTAACTATGTAAGTTTAAAATTCTGTTAAGAGCTATAAGTTGCATTAATTTTCCATTCATTTTCAGTTTTTCAAAGCTTAAGTTTCTTTCTTCTTTTTTCGCTAATAAAATTAATAGTAAATTCAAATTATTAAATATAAAAATAAAAATGTTCCTCTTTCCTTCCTGTGCTCACAAAACATTATACGAATGTGCATTTACAACTCTTAAAGCCTGAAACACGCATGTCTGCGATGTTATCATCATGGGCTGATTTGTAGGTGCTTTACATTTTTACCATGATATTTTTGACGGCGATGTTTTTAAACTGCGAAGTTATTTAACCGCTTTATTTTCGACGACGATATTTTGTACCGCGATGTTTTAGAATTGTGATGTTTTCTCTTTCTTTTCTCCCCCGATGTTTTGTACTGCGACGTTTTCGCCTTGCGTCGTTTTCTCCGCGACGTTTTTGTCCGCTATGTTTTCGGCAGACACCGTCTTATTAGTACATTTTTTCTCATAAAATGTAAAAATTGTTTTTTAAAATCCGTCTGTATGAAATTAAACGTAAGGTTAATTTTTAGTAATCGTAAGATAAAGAGAATTATGGGCCAAAACATATGAGAGGATCATTAGCTTAAAAAATCAGATGTGTTCGTTGAAGACCTTAATAAAGAAATTAACTGTTCGTTGTTACACAAGAGAAATTGCGTATTAGCCATTATAAATATTATTATTATTATATTATTACTCTAGCTGTTGGAATGTTTCGATAGAATTTAATATAGAGAAGTATTGCAGAAGTATTAATTTGAGTAGAACATTCGAGGCCAACTACTTTATTTTTAATAACAACTATTTTATTTTTGCTGTTATTTTTGAGTGTTTGAATGTTTCAATAGGATTCAGTTTAAGAAACAACGCAGAAGTATTTACCTTCACAAAGCATTTGAGGGCTATGTGCCTGGAAAGGCAAAGAAGTAAGTAAGAAGTATTTTTTATTTTGCTGTAAAAAGTATATTGACTCATATCATATTAGATATTGTTACGAAGTGTACATGCGCGGTAAGATAGCCTCCCCGCAAAGAAGTTTTAGAGCTGCCATAAAACGGCAAATAAGGCAGGGTTGCCACATTTGGCAAGAAATCTCCCAATTGGCGATATGCCTTGGACGGATGGAGAACCTTCTGGAACAAATTCTTACCGGTTTAGCCCAGAGTGTTCTCGAACACCAGCCAAAAGCTATACAAACTCTGCTGGTACACGGAGAGTTAAGTATTATCGAGTTGGTGTCTCGTCTAGCGAGTCAATCGAGTTGACAGCCGGGCAGCGAGTGGCGAGTGGGTCGTCGAGTGCACCGAAAGTCTCACAGTGTATCGCGGTTAGTGCATCGTCGAGAGAGCGTGTTGAGCTCCGGGAACGACTGAACCGAACAGTCGGGAGGTGTGCACTGTGTGTTATTGAGTGCATCGCGAGTTGTAGCGTAGAGAGTCTCGAGAGTACGTGGAATTCCGAGAACGACTGAGCAGAGTCCAGAGCTGTACTCTGGTGCTTTGTAGGCTGTCTGCACCGTGATAGCCTGATAACCTGGAGGCTGTGTCGCTGATCGTGTCAGCGTGTTTATAGTAGTTCATCGACGACTGTAAAAACGTGTTTTGGAGCTGTCCTGGCAATACTGGCCAATAAAGAGTGTTTCGATACTTCATCAAGTAGTATAGTCATTATTCACTCCAAATCCTCACGAACCTCGTGCGAACGTGAAGGAAGAAAATAACGTAACAACTGGTGTCAGAAGAAAAACGTAACAGTATAAAGGAAAATGAAAATCCTATGCATCTTGTTGCTAAAATGGAAACGAGACAAATTGCTGTTGTTCAAAGGCACTTCGACCTTTAAGTCTGTGACGTGTATATATTTTAAACGCAGATGTTAAAATAAATAAACAGAAAATTAATCTCTTTGTAATCGTCCATAAATTAAATCGTGCTTCAAGTTGCTATGATCATGTGCAAAAATAGATCACGGTGCATTTGAATAATTCAATATCTATTATTTTTTTTTATTTATTTGATTTTTATTTTTATATTTTTTTAAGGAGAGACTTCCAGACGCCAGATGAGAAACGTTGCAGCATATCAAAATAAATTTTATACTAGGATGGAACCTTGCAAATGAAAGCCGTTAGTAACTAAGTTAACCCTCCAGCTTCTGCGATTTTCATATTTTCTTTGCACAGAATCCGCCTTTTGCGAAGAAAGTAGGACCCGGATTCAGTTTCTGGCGAATGGGCTGCCTATATTGGTTCAATATGTATACATGGTAACGAGCAGATTTCTTAGAAAGTCCTCTTCTAAGACTTCTCCTAAGGCAGCCATACACCTCTCTCATTTGCTTTGTCTCAATCAGTTAACCAACAAATCAATCAAAATCTCTAGCGAACATTGTTTCTAGTATAGCTGTATAGTACAGAAAATTTGGAAACAAGTTTAAAAAAAATCAAAGTATAGGAAGAGAAAAAAATATTGTGTATTAACTTTGAACGTATGCGAAATGTACATACGGTATTGAACATACCGCGTTTAACAGAAAAACACAGAGAAAACAAATATCATTATATAGTAAATGGAAACAGTTTTGTTAAAAACCACTTATAAAGTTGATTACCATTTTTGAGATCTTCAGACTATCTATACACATTTACTTAGTCATCTTCGGTTGAGTCTGCTTCTTTTTCTCAGTGTGCCGTGTGTTATTGGCCTTTGTCATCCGTCAATCGCTTTTTAGTTACTGTCGTTGTATGAATGGGTTTTTTAGCTTTTTTCTAGTAAAATAAATTTACATATTCGGAATATGAGTTGGTGGGAAGGTATTGCATGATTTCTTTGGTAGTAGTTAATTTCTGTCGATCTCTGATCAAGAATCTACTCTAAGCGCTTGCTGCCTTAGTGATTTTTGAATCTTCAAATTTTTCATTTTCTTTCAGAGACATCGAGAAAACAGTGAGCTTGTTACCTTTGCGAAATTTTAGAGCTGTGTTATGAGATTTCAGATAGCCTTTTAAAATTTACCTGAATATATTTGTTCTTCAGTGTACTATTTATTATAGGCATTTCATAACTCTGCTTCTTTTTAAGCTCTATATTGTTGTAACTGTGTTTTCAAACACTGTATCATACATAAGACCACATTACAGTTTTCTCACCAAGGCTTTTCTTCTCCGGTATTTCTTTCCATTTGCACATTTTATTATTATTATTATTTTAAAGCAGCTGTAAAAATTTTCTTATAGAATATACCGTAAATTCCAACATATAACGCGAACCTTTATAATTTCAAACTATTTTATTTTGTTATTTTTTTCTAGGTATATTCGCCTTTTAACGCGCACCCTTTTCTTTACGAGGAAATCTGCGGAAATCTGGATACATATGCGACGCTCTTATCTTTTGATGTCATTCAGGATTTTTCCCAGGCTTTCGAACAATGAAATACTGAATTGGCAAGCGATAAGTGGAAAGGCTAGAGGAAGTAAATAATTCTGCAAAGGAGATGGCTTGTGCCAAAAAGGCAGATTGCGCAGCTGTGCACAAGACTGTTATTCTAGGGTTTATTGAAAAGGAGGACATGATTTGGGCTAAGAATTCACTTTCGGCCAGAATGAATTCGCGGAATTAGTTATATGTATATGTTTTCTCTTTCTGTAATCATTAGAAGCCGTGATTTTGTAGTGAACACCGAAGGATTTAGTAAATTGTATTTACGTTAGTTTAAAGTTGATCTAATGTTTCTTTTAATAGCAAACATGCCTTCTGCCAAATGAAGCAAGCACAGTGCTGGTTTCAAATGCAAAGAAAATTATTCAGTCTGTGTGAGGGGGGGGGGTATTGGGGGGTCGTGCTGTATCAAGGATGTTTGGTGTTGGTGAAAGCTCCATATGTGAATTTAAGAAAAATGAAAGCATAATATTTAATATGCCAAAGCATAAATATGCTTTGATAAAGGAGTAACGAAATGGTATCTCCTAGAAGAGAGTGTTGCGAATTGGGTCCTAGAAAATCGACAGAATGGATTAATTTTAACAAGAAACGCTTATACGTTTATTTGTTTTAAAGTGGGCAAAAAAGAATGTAAATGAAAGCGAAAACTTTAAAACAGCTTTAAGTTTTTGTAGTAGATTTATGGCACGGAATAATTTAGTTCTATGTTAAAAGAACAAAGGCTTCGGAAAGAATTGGACAACAAATTCAGAAGTTTCCAGAAATAGGTTATTGACCTACGAGGGAGAGAAAAAAAAAAAAAAAAAAAAAAAAAACATTGTTGCCGCATATTGGAAATCCCGTGTTTATTTCTAAAAGAAAGACGATACCGAAATGTAATCTCCCGAATGATGTTTTCATTCATTTTCAACGAGAAATAGTGGATGGAAGAAAATGGTGTGAAACTGTGATAAGAAATTTTTGGCAAAAGTGTTAATATAGACATGGCAGTTTTCCCAGGCGGATTAACGCCCTTAGTTCAGCCTTTAGATGTATGTATCAATAAACCATTAAAAAGAATTTAAAACGATAGTGGAGTACGTGGATGTTAGAAGGTGAAAAAGCATTTACAAAAGGACACCAAATACGTCATGTCAGTCTAGAAATAGTGTGTGAGTGGGTAATAAAAGCATAGAAGGGAATTAATCCGGACATACTTCCAAAGTGATTTTTAAAATGTAGTATATCTAATAATCTAAGTGAAGCGGAAGATGGTTATTTAATTATGGATCAGAGTAAGAATGATGGTAAAGATGAAACAGAATTCGATGATGATCTTCAGATATAACGGAAGACGAATATGACGAACTTTTCATGTTATCCGATCATGAAAATGTTGTAAGTTCAAAAGGTATGTGATTTATTTTGAATGAACAGCATTTAGATATATACAGAAATCTAATTTTTGTATTCTTTCCTTATTTTTAAATCTATCATTTTTATACCCGGCGGACAACACGCTCCTGTAAATACGTTACATATAAACCACTCGCGCGCATTTAAAAAACCCATAGTATTTGCTTGTGCAACAGTATAGAAAATAAATTTTTCCGAAAAGAAATTTTATTTAGAACAGACCGAAATAATACGGTACATATAAACTACTCGCGCGCATTTAAATAGCCGATAGTATTTGCTTGTGCAACAGTATAGAAAATAAATTATTTCCTAAAAGAAATTTTATTTAGAACAGACCGGAATATACGGTACATATAAACTACTCGCGCGCATTTAAATAACCGATAGTATTTGCTATCGTTTCATCTAACGTTTTATCTAACGTTTCATCTTGCCTGCTTCCAAATTACCTAATGTCTTTACAGTGGCGTTTGAACTAAAAGGGTTTGGATGATGGTTCTCCACACCCAGGATTTGGCGATTGGGTCCGCTAAAAACTTCAGTCGCTTTTTAAAAGGGGGAGCACATAAGCTACTTCTCCCGCCTTTTTAGCATGCCTTCGTGGTGTAGTGGTCAGCACACTCGACGCGTATTCGGGAGGTCCGTGGTTCGAATCCCGGCGAGGACATTGCTCATTTTCATCTCTCCTGCTTTAAAACAATACCTAATGTCTCTAGAGTGGCTCCCAAACTATAAAAATGTGGCGAATGATGATTCTCCATCACCAGGATTTGGCGGTTGGGTTCCCTAATTCCCAGCTGCCCTTTAAAAGAGGGAGTACGTGAGGTATTTCTTCCCGAGGCGTTGCTCATTTTTCATCTTTCCTGCTTCCATAAAAATACCTAATGTCTCTACAAAGTAAAAACAAAATTTCAAAGTAATTAAGGAAAAAAAGAAGGAAAACTATGTGAAATAATGTAAACTTTGCATTCGATATTTATCTCATGTGGTGCATGAGCTTTGAATACTGTTGCGTTCTAAATCTTTTATCTCGAGATTCATGTTTGAATTTTATTTCAAAAAGTTCATCTATTAAAAAAAATTAT